CAGTCGGTCGATCAATGAATCAGTCAGTCAGTCAGTCTATAATCTGTCTCTTATACACATCTAGATGTGTATAAGAGACCGCCCCCCCCCTCCCTCGTGGCGGTCGTCGTCGTCGTCGTCCTCCTGCTCTACTTGTACGGCGCAAACTACGACCAGTTGCAGTACTGCCTCTACCTCTGCCTCCCCAATACCCTGCTCCTCCTCCTACTACTACTCCTACTCCTACTCCCGCTCCTCCTCCTAGTCCTACTCCTTTTCGTTGTCGTCCTGGCCGTACTGCTGTTGTACTTGTACAGAGGGTCCTCCTACCAGTAGTACGATCACCTCTACCTCTGCCAGTTCTATTTCTGTAGACGTGTACTCGCCTCACAGCAGCACCAGGAGCACTAGCAGAGGCAGAAGAACGACGACGATTCGAGGTAGGAGGAGGAGGAGGAGGAGGAAATCTCCTCTGGGTCTCGCCGGCGATCTCCCGCCCATTGTCCTGCTCTTGAAGACGTACTAGGTATGGGGACCAGAACAGGCATACTCTGACCTGGAGCTCAGCTGCCCATACCCTGCATAACCCGCGGTCCATCTCATAAAAACTTTCGGGCGAGCCGTACTCCGCGGCAATCATACAAGTGAGGGATAAGAACATGTTCTCTCCCAAGCTGTCCCCTGCGAAAGCCAAAGTCGCGAAATTGTCCGACGCTGTGAAGTTGTCCGCCGGCTTGCCAACGGCCTCCTCAGGACCGGCGGACATCATGCTGCTTTCGCTCGCCATCGTCTTCGGCTCCTGCTCGGTCTTCACCTCCTCCTGGCCGCCTTCTTCCCCGCCGCCATCGACATCATCGTCACGAGCTCCAGCACCCCTTTCTTGGCGTGATGATCTCGCTTTCCACCATAGCCGCCGCTTCTTGATACAGTGCAAAGCTTGGACAAATCGACGGACGCTGAACTCGGGAATGCCACACGTGGACGCCTGCCATCGCCAGTGCTGATAGGTGTCATTCGGCCTTCCGTCTCGAATGCAATCACGCTTGGAGAGGAGAGGACAAGAGGGGTATGGGCTCGGTCGCTCGAGATCCAGCACCCATCGCCCCTGCATGTAATTAAGGCGGCAATCAGAAGTAGTAGAATTACCAGAAGCGGCGTGGAGATCAGTGTAATTGCACGAAAAACTTTCCCAGAAAGGTAACTTTCTTGGTTTCATCCAACTTGATGGGCCCAGCGGTCCTGCTTGCAAACGTCCAAAAAAATCGACGGCCGACAAAGGACTCTGAGGCAGAAAAAAGACCGTCAGAATCAAGCATAACCCAGAGATCACAGTCAAAGGCCAACCCGGTTTACCCACACGCTTCAACGTGGCCTTGATGGTCTGTCCATAGCCACGGGCAAGAGTTTTCCCGCCCTCCGCAACAGCCCTGCTCTTGCCCGCAAGTGCCGACTGCTCTTCTTTCGTCAGCATTCGCAGAAGTCCTCTATCCTCGTCCTCGCTTGCCGAGTTCTGGTCATCCTTCTCCCCCTCCATCTCTCTCTCTCTCTCTCTCTCTCTCTCTCTCTCTCTCTCTCTCTCTCT